ACAAGGGAGGAGCTGGTCAATGACATGAAGAGAGCTGGGACTACAGTTTCAAAGGTCACTGTCGGTAGAACACTGCGCCTTCATGGTTTCTAATCAAGCATTGCTCGGAAGGTTCCCCTGCTCAAGTCATCACATGTCCAGGCCCGTCTGAAATTTGCCAATGACCATCTGGATAATCCAGAGGAGGCATGGGAGAAAGTCATGTGGTCAGATGAGACCAAAGTAGAGCTTTTTGGTCTAAACTTCACTCGTCGTGTTTGGAGGATAAAGAAGGATGAGTTGCATCCCAAGAACACCATCCCTACTGTGAAGCATGGGGTGGTAACATCATGCTTTGGGGGTGCTTTTCAACGAAGGGGACAGGATGACTGCACTGTATTAAGGAGAGGATGAATGGGGCCATTTATTGTGAGATTTTGAGCAACAACCTCCTTCCCTCAGTCAGAGCATTGAAGATGGGTCGTGGCTGGGTCTTCCAACATGACAACGACCCGAAGCACACAGCCAGGATAACCAAGGAGTGGCTCCGTAACATCATACTTTGGGGGTGCTTTTCTGCGAAGGGGACATGAACGACTGCACTGTATTAAGGAGAGGATGAATGGGGCCATTTATTGTGAGATTTTGAGCAACAACCTCCTTCCCTCAGTCAGAGAATTGAAGATGGGTCATGGCTTAGTCTTCCAACATAACGACCCGAAACACACAGCCAGGATAACCAAGGAGTGGCTCCGTAAGAAGCATATCAAGGTTCTGGAGTGGCCTAGCCAGTCTCCAGACTTAAATCCAATACAACATCTTAGGAGGGAGCTGAAACTCCGTGTTGCTCAGCGACAGCCCCGAAACCTAACAGATCTAGAGGAGATCTGTGTGGAGGAGTGGGCCAAAATCCCTGTTGCAGTGTGTGCAAACCTGGTCAAGAACTACAGGAAATGTTTGATATCTGTAATTGCAAACAAAGGCTTCTGTACCAAATATTAACACTGATTTTCTCAGGTGTTCAAATGCTTATGTTCAGCAGTGCAAGACAAATAAATTCTTTAAAAATCATACAATGTGATTTCCTGAACAGTTTTTTTTAAATTCTGTCTCTCAGAGTGGGAATGCACCTACAATGTAAATTTCCGACCCCCCATGATTTCTAAGTGGGAGAACTTGCAAAATCGCAGGGTGTTCAAATACTTCTGTTCCTCACTGTATGAGTGAGTTTGGGATGGAGTGATTTGACTGGCCTGCACGACAGAACACCCTGAATTAGAGTGGAGACTGCAAACCAGGCTAAGACTTGGATGCAGCAGCTTCGGCCATGCAAACCCATTCCATGAAGCTCTCTATGCACGGTTTTTGTGCTAATCTGAAGGCCAAACGAAGTCTGGAAGTCTTTTGCTACTGACTCTGCAGACATTTGGTGACTTCTGCGCACTGTACACTTCAGCATGTCATTTTACGTGGCCTACCACTTGGTGGCTGAGTTGTTGTTGTTCCCAATTGCTTCCACTTTGTCATAATACCACTAACAGTTCACCGTGGAAAAAGTAGTAGGAAAGAAATTTCACAGATGAACTTATTGCACAGGTGGCAACCTATCACGGTACCACGCTTGAATTCACTGGGCACCGGAGAGCGACCCATTCTTTCACAAATGTTTGTAGAAGCAGTCTGCATGCCTAGGCGCTTGATTTTATACACCTGTGTCCATGGAGGTGATTGGAACACCTGAATCCAATGATTTGGAGGGGTCTCCCAATACTTTTGGCAATACAGTGTATATTTAATGAACTCTCAAATTAACTGGTGCTTTTTTACTATCTGCCAGAAGTACAGCTTTTAATTTTATTATTATTATTATTATTATACAGGATTTATATAGCGCCAGCAGTTTGCTCAGCACTTTACATATAAAAGGGAGACAATACAACAATGATACAGTTCAAAACAAGAGGGTTAGGAGGGCCCTGCTCCTTGGAGCTTACAATCTAAGAGAATGATTAGGACAAACTAAAACTAATATTTCAGACTTGGGTGGAAGTCAGCAGGCTGAATCACTCTCTTGCTCCAAAAGCCTCTCAGACTCAGGAGTTGTACGACTATAATGCAGCTATTTCAGGACAATGAAAACATTTTCTATGTGCTAACCAGGGAGAACGGAAACAACTGGACATACCTTTTAAGGAAGAAACAAGGACATTCTTATCTTGAGGCAAAGAATAAGTAACTACACTATAGGCAATATCTTCCCAGAATGAGAAGAAATAAAACACTCTCATATGACCTACATGACCCTTCAATATACTTCTGCCTCCTTTCCTTTATCTCCCAACAGCCACCATTCTGCCAATAGCACTAAGGCCTTGTTCACATAAGGCATACTACAGCGCCCCCCACGGAGGGCCATGTTTACCCGAACAGGGATGCACAGGTGTTCCATGTATCACTGGGCAGGCATTCCTATTGATATCCATGCAACCATATCCATGACATCAATGGGACTGCCTGCACAGGGATGCACAAAACACCTGTGCATCCCCCCTCCCCCCATGCAGGTAAACACGGCTCACTTGTGGACATACGCTATAGTACGCCTCATGTGAACGAGGCCTAAAGAGGAGCCTATACCACGGAAGTATAGATCCTGTCATTGCGGACCTCCCTGCAAATACTAAACGCCTGGATCCTAAGTTGAATTAGCAGATTCAGTCACTGCCAAAGAAAAAGCATGCAGATTGTGACTGACTTCTCTGCTCCGCATGCTTGTTTTGGGTGAGCGACTTAAAGTGGTTGAAAACCTCAGACATGAAATATGAACTTATATATATAAAAATGCAGCGCTGTAAAATGATCAAATCATGCAAATCAACACAATAATAGTCCTGAAAAGGTGCTCAATAATTCCCAGTGTCAATGGAAAGAATGCAAACTAACCAGAAACGCATTTAAAATACGCATATGTGTAAGAAATCCTGGAGATTCCCCTCTCTCCCTCTGGTCAGAAAATGGATATGTGCTGAAATGGATGACGATGACGCCCCCTCTTGTAGGAAAACGAAATCCTGCAGGTTAGGAAGCTCCCAGGATAGGATATTCCTCTTCAATGGAACCAGGGCCATGGTCCTTGCTCTACCTCAGAAGAAGTGCGTGCCCACGAAACGCGTCAGAAGGAGCCTGTGGACGTCGTTGACACTACGCCGCCGGTGCCATGTGGAGGCCCGGCGGCCACCTATAATTTTAAGAGGGTCAGTGGGTCACTTTCACTTGCCACCTGATTATATGTTTTACTTGGTTTTTTTTAAATAAATTGAAGTAATATACTACACTATGAGTATCTCTCTGTGTTCTCTGTGAGCGGCCTTTCTCCCAACTTCACAGCCACAGAGTGATTTCAATCCCAGCCCTGGTTCCATTGAAGAGGAATATCCTATCCTGGGAGCTTCCTAACCTGCAGGATTTCGTTTTCCTACAAGAGGGCGTCATCGTCATCCATTTCAGCACATATCCATTTTCTGACCAGAGGGAGAGAGGGGAATCTCCAGGATTTCTTACACACATGCATATTTTAAATGCGTTTCTGGTTAGTTTGCATTCTTTCCATTGACACTGGGAATTATTGAGCACCTTTTCAGGACTATTATTGTGTTGATTTGCATGATTTGATCATTTTACAGCGCTGCATTTTCATATATATATATGTTTTACTGAGGATTTTTACATGCGTTTATCCTGGATGTTCAGCTGCTGTTTCTTTGAGAGCGCTCACTGTGTGTCCTTTACCTATACAGCTATGAAATATGAACTGCTGCTTCATTTCTTTGCTATCACTTCTGACAAGTTTTCCTGACACCAAGAGAAAATCAGACTGACAGCCTCAGCTCTGTTCCTTTAAACTGCGTGGAGGGGGTGTGTGTCCCTTCCCTCCAATCAGCTCTCAGAACTCTCCTCACTGAGCTTTGCAGACTGTAAGTTCAGCTCTCCTCCCCATTTTTTCTGAACTCTCATACAAGCTTTAAAAATCAGCACTTTGAACCTATGTAGAGAAAAGACGACTGCAGATAGAGAGGTACAACTTATGTAAATGGCCAACCACTTCACTGAGTATATGTGAAGGTTTACAACCACTTTAAAGCACCAAGTCTGAAGACAACCAGGTAACTAGCAGATAACAACAAAGGTATCCTCTGTATTTTTTTCACTACAGGTTTACTTTAAAACTAATCCTGTGCTTTTCTGTTGCTGCCCTCCTAACCACCACAAGGTCACCTTCTCTTCACTCTGTTATCACTCTGATCAGCTATTGGGAGCAGTAGAGATCACTTGTGTAAGCTAGGAGTTACTGAAATCTTGGCTTACAAAGTGCTCTGTACTCTCCCCATGTGACAGACCTGCTGACTGAGTCAAAAGCTCCTCCATACCTGAAATACATTTTTTCTCCTGGTGACTGAAAAGAGGTGGAGACAACTCTACCTCCACCTGTCCGTACTACCTTTGGAGTAGAGGTGGTTAGGGGAAAGAAAGGCCAGTAACACCCCCGGTCACATTGGGTGTGACTTAGCATGCAATTGCATGCCATTCGACTTGCAAATCGTATTGGCTGCTATTACAGCGGTCATATCAGTGCAGTTGCGACTTGTTCGGAGTCGCACCGATTTCTAAAGTAGTGCATGCACTACTTTTTGTTGTGATTTGCATAGACATCTGTGTCAGATGTCTTGTAAATCGCAATGAAATCAGCAGGTCACCCGATTTTGAAATTGCAAGACTTCATTGTAAGTCGCACGATTTCAAAATCGGCTTTGATGTGACCGGGGGGGGGGGTAAGCCTTGCTTAGGGGACAAGACATTAAAGCAAACCTTTTTTCTAGTAATATTAAAAAAAACTGCACCTTGCCTTTACAAGTCAAAAAGGCCATGCAGTCTGCTTTTGCTTAATTTAAATACGAGTTAAGATAGTCCATGGAAACACAGCAAACACAGGCTTCTTTGGAGGATTCGGCAATCATACTCACTGGGTCATCAGCTTTGCAATCCTCTGGCAGTCATGCTGGTCATAAAACCAGATACTGTAAATGGACACTAAAAGAGATAGAGACAAAAAAAACATTAGATAAGCAGCACTATCATTGCTAATATGTGTCTTCTCCAGTCACACAAGATAAACCACCCACAGGCTGTGCAATCCCAAATGCCAAACCTGTGATTAAGAGAAACAAAAACATGCCAAGATTACACTTAGAAAGTATGGAGCTGCCTGTTTAGAGTAAAGTGATGAAAAAAAAAAAAAAAAAAAAAAAAAAAAAAATATATATATATATATATATACACACATACACATATATATACATACATACATACATACATACATATGTACACACACATACTGACTTTGACTGAAAAAAATAAAAACTAAAAAGAAGTCGGATGAAAAACTAGCAGCTGAACAGTGACTGCATCCTAACAGATGCAGTCACTGTTCAGGTATCCAGTAAGCCGTAGGTGCTGCAATTGTCTGCATACAACAGCCATCAGGGAAGATCACTCTAACAATACTGTTTAGAATGGATGGGGGAATCAAGGGATTTCATCTCATTCAGCTTGTGGGGCTGAATGAGAGAAATCCTAATATGTATGGTTGCTTTAGATTAGTGGTCTCCAAACTGCGGCACTTTGCTTGCCTTTATCCGACCCTTGGGGCACTATTCCTCCCACTGATACGAGATATTATCCCTCTGACACCAACAATAGGGCATAATTCCTACCACTGACGCCAAAAATGGGCTACTCTTCATCCCCCTAATATCAAAGATGGGACACTGTTTACTCCCACTGACACCAGAACAAGTTCTACTCCCACTGGCTACAGTTTGCCCCCCTAAAGTCTGAAGGACAGTAAACTGGTCTTTTGTTTGGAAACCCCTGCCTTAGACCATTAGACTGCCAGCATACATGCCTGGTGTGGACTTGTACATTACAGCAAACCTGGAAAGAAACTTCAATTACTGAGCTGGTAGTCCTGGTTTATTTTTCAATTTCACTGCAGTGTACCTTCAGCAATATTTCAACACTTGTAGAGTTGCCAATATCTGAACCAAAACGCAGAAGTACAAATCAGAGTACTAAAAATGAAGATGAGCAGTCCTTCAATTGTTACTTCTCCAAGGGAAGACCTTTGATATAGAACCTTCCCATAAACAAAGAAAACACACTACGACTTTTAATAAATCGTTAATGTGTCAGGATGTCCCTGTGCTGTCAGCACTGAAAACATCTAGTTCCTTCAACTAATTTACCACTTTTATCCAATGACACCTCAGTAAAGCAGATCTGAACAAAGGTCTGGGAAGCTTTCCAAAATTTATAATCAGGAGCAAAAAAAAAAAAAACTAATACATTAAAGAAAATGGTTTAGAAACAATTTTTTTGTTTACGCTGCTGAGTTTCTAAATGGTTGATTTACATCCGTTTTTGTGAATCTACACAGATCAGCCATAACATGACCACTGACAGGTAAAGTGAATAACATTGATTGATTATCTCTTTACAATGGCACCTGAAAGTGGGTGGGATATATTAGGAAAAAACTGAACATGTTGTCCCTGAAACTGCGATGTTGTAAGTATGAAGAAAAAAAAAAAAAAAAAGGGGGGGGGGGGGCAAGCATAAGGATTTGAATGACTGACAGGGGCCAAACTACAGTTCTTGTGGGATATTCCCGGTCTGCAGTGATCAGGACCTAAAAGTGGTCCAGGGGAGGAAAACTGACAACCCGCTGACAGAGTCACGCGCAGTGGAGGCTCAATGATGCACGTGGGGAGCAAAGGCTGGCCTGAGTAGTCTAATCCAATGAAAGTGCTACTGTATCACAAACTGCTGAAAAAGTTCCTCCTACTTCCAAATGAAGGGTGTCAGAACACTCAATGCATCGTAGTGTGTCGAGTATGGGGCTGTGTAGCACAGACCAGTCAGGGTGCCCATACTGACCTGTGTCCACAGTCAAAAGTGCCAACATCAGAACTAGACCACAGGGCAATAGAAGAAGGTGGCCTGGTCTGATGAAATCAAGAATGGTTTGAGGAACACAAGTTCAAGGTGTTGACTTGGTCTCCAAATTCTCCAGAACTCAATCCAATTGAGCATCTGTGGGATGTGCTGCAAAAACAAGTCCGTCCTTGGAGGCTTCACCCCCGCAACTTCCAGGACTTAGGCCAGGTTTACACCTATGTATATTGCAATTTGCTGCAGGAAAAAAGTCCCTGACCTTTGCTAAAAATGTAGTGGCTGAAAACGCATAAATGTGAACGTGTACCATAGGAAACCATGTTAAATAGACTGTAGTTAGCTTCTGCAAAAAGCACTAAAACATGCGTAGGTGTGAACCATGCCTTAAAGCAGCGGTTCTCAACCTGTGGGTCGCGACCCCTTTGGGGGTCGAACAACCCTTTCACAGGGGTCTCCTAAGACCATCGGAAAACACATATTTCTGATGGTCTTAGGAACCGAGACACCGCTCCTCTATCAGTCTCCAGGCGGGTCCGCCCACATGCAGATACGTCCACATTTCCCTGGACCGCGATGTGTGTGTGTGATGACATGCCGCCCCTGTCATCTGGCCACATCCCCCCAGGAGGAGCCGAGCAGCAGCGCGAAGATCAAAGAAGATCAAGCAAGGGAGCGGCCGGAGAGAAGACAGCTGACAGGTAAGTGTCTGTAGTGTGCAGATGGTACTGCTGCAGCCAGGTATGCTGGCTGTAGATGGGAGAGGGAGGGAGCGAGCCCAGGCTGGAGCAGGAGTCAGCAAGGTAAGTATCATTGGTGTCAGTAGGAGGAATAGTGCCCCATCATTGGTGTCACTAATACCAATGATGGGGCACTATTCCTCCCACTGACACCAATGATGGGGCACTATTCCCCCCCCCCCCCACTGACACCAACGATGGGGCACTATTCCTCCCCCCACGGACACCAACGATGGGGCACTATTCCTCCCCCCACTGACACCAACGATGGGGCACTATTCCTCCCCCACGGACACCAACGATGGGGCACTATTCCTCCCCCCACTGACACCAACGATGGGGCACTACCCCCCCCCCCCACTGACACCAACGATGGGGCACTACCCCCCCCCCCCCACTGACACCAACAATGGGGCACAATTCCCCCCCACACTAGTATCAATGATGAGGCACACTATTCCCCCCCCCCCACTGACACCAATGATGGGGCACTATTCCTCCCACACTGACACCAATGATGGGGCACTATTCCTCCCACTGACACCAACGATGGGGCGCTATTTCTCCCACTGATACCAATGATGGGATTCCTCCCACTGATGCCAACGATGGGACACTATTCCTCCCACTGACATTAGTGATGTGGCACTACTCCTCCCACTGCAAAATTACAGTTATGAAGTAGCAATGAAAATAATTTTATGGTTGGGGGTCACCACAACATGAGGAACTGTATTAAAGGGTCGTGGCCTTAGGAAGGTTGAGAACCACTGCCTTAAAGAATCTGCTACTAGTGGCTTGGTGCTAGATATCACAGCATACCTTCAGAGATCTAGTACAATCCATACCTCGACAGGTTATGGTGCATGGTCATAATGTTATGGATGATCGGTGTATATCAAATCTTTATTTTACATACAGTATAAACTTTCACTAAAGAACAAAGAGTTCCCAGAGAACTAGGGGTTATCTATAGATACAGCAAAGCACAGAAGCCTCCTTTGCAACTCTTTTTGCCAGACAGAAATATCTGACCTACTCAGTTGATAAGGAAATGCGTCAAAAAGTGGTGCAGACATTCTGAGGACATGCATCGCACGTCTGCATGACAAAATGTCTGTGTGACAGGTTCACGTGTCTGTTGGAAACAAGTATGTGAATTTACAGCAAAGATGTGCCAGAATGGCTAGATGTGTGACGCAATTTACTCCAAGATGATATTTGCCTTCTTTTCCTCTGATGTCATTATTGCATATAGCAGAATTTGGTAAATAAACTGGTTGCAGCCATAAATTCTTAGGAAAGTGTTGAAAAGAAGACCTTGGAGCAACGCATTATCTATGGAATTAACATATAACTTTTATGAATTTGGCACAAGAGTTCAATGTACAGCTATAGGCCAGACTTAATGTGCAAATCCTTTAGTGAATTTCCCCCCACTGAGCTTTGTAAACAGACTACATTAGCACAGTGGAAAGTAATTGTTCCAGGAGAAAAGGATAATGAAGCTCCACCTGTGAGCTGGAAAACACAAAAAGGGAAGAAGGACTAGCAAGCATTAGGATACAAGATTTCATTCTGTCTGACAAACAAAAAAAGGTTAAAAAAAAAGTCCTAACCATAATTAAACCTATAAAAAAATTATTTACAAAACCTGCAAATATTCAATTTAAGCAGAATAAACTGAATTAGTGGCTCACATTCTGCATACCAATGTTTCCCGATGCGATGCCCTGTGATGACGATACTTTAATATAAATTTTATTCTTTAAAAGCCAGCAGCAATCACTTTGTTTGGCTGCGGTTTCTCAGCAACCAGGGTTCCTAATGGCGTCACCGTAGTGCCAGCACAAGGACCTTGATAGCGGGATCACCAGGTATTACTTTTAACCACTTTCCGACCGGCTGTTGCATATAAACGGCCGGACGGTGGCAGTGCAGGGTCGGGTGGCCGTTTATAAATGGCCTCTCCGCACCCTGCTTGTGCGCGCTCCCTGGGGATCCGGTGCTCGCTGTGTCCTCCGGACACAGTGAAACACAGATCGGACGGGACCTCTGTACGAGGTCCCAATCATGTGATCACAGATTGGCCAATCAGTGATCACATGCAAAGTAGTAAGCAAGATGTCACTTGTGACATCATTGCTTACTATGTGTGAAATCTGTGAATGATCACAGAGGTCACATGGTACAGGGCTATTCACAACAGCCTTGTACCATGTGACAAGCTGTGACCAATCAAAGCTCACTCAGTACTTCTCAATGAGTGCAAGAATGGAGACAGAGAGAAAAAAAAAAAAAAAAAAAAAAAAATCTTAATCACCCCCCACAAGTAGTACAGTGTCCCCATGGTGACACTGTACAGCTAGGGTGACAGTATATAAAAATAAATAAAAAATATAAAAAAATAAAAAAATAAAAATGTAAAACAAAAAGGTTAAAAATTATAATTTTT